ACTAACACGGCTACCCCTCTGATACTTGACACTCATGACTTAGTGCTTCTGCCCATGGACCTCTAGCTAAAAACAACCCCGGAAGACTTGGCCCTCTTTAAATTTAATGTTGCCATTCTCAACTAGTGATATTACACACACGTTGCAGGCAGGGCCTGTCTCTGACCACGTGTATGTACAGGATTTAGCACAATGGGGACCCGATCTCAGATGAGGCCTCTAGGCAGTACTGGAATACATATAATAAGATTTGAGTCTCTAAGGTAGAATCTGTATTTGCCAAACTTTTCTTAGGATGAATTTTAAAAAATTCTCAGTGTTGTTATCCTGAGATGCTGCCTCATATGTGCAACCTTTGTGCTAGACAACACTGATGATGGTTCTTGGTAAATTTGTTTACACTCTTTCAAGGACACAATGTAGCCTGATCTATAGATTATGTATTAATTATATTGATTAATTAAGAATTCTCCGTTATCACTTTGAGGGTTGACAGGTTCTTGCCCCAAGATCAGGCTCAGTATTATTAAAATTACTATATATTTGGGAACCGCGATATGCACAGTTGCAACACTCGCACTATAGGAACTCTTCTATCACCTGGATCGATCGGTCTTCAGCTGTTGTTAAGACTGCGCCGATCACAACACGTCTGCCATTCTTCTTGCACTCTTGCCTTTCTTCTCCATGTTCGTCCGAGACGTTTAACAATGTCATCTTCCCATCTTCTTAGAGGCCGACCGGGTGGTCTTTTCTGTTCTTGCGGGTACCACTCAGCAATGATTGTGGTCCACCTATTGTCCGTGAACCGTGCTATGTGGCCCACCCATCGCATCTTGTTATATCTGCTTTCCACGACAATATCTTTCACACCAGTGCGTTCTCTGATCATTTCATTTGGGATCCATAAGGGAAATTCCCAACATAGCTCGTTCCATTGCCCTTTCAGCCACCAACAGCCACTGCTCTTCTCTCTTAGTCAGTGCCCACGTTTCACTGCCATACAGCATGGCTGGCAGCACTGTTGAATTGAAGATATTTGTACGTGTGGTCTTGTTGATTTTTCCTTTGAGGACGTCCTTGATGGAATTAAATGCATACCATCCTGCCCGAATCCTTCGCGAGAGTTCTCCGTTCAGATCTTGGCACATATTAACTTCTTGTCCCAAATATATGTACTGTTCCACTTCTTCGATTTCTTCTCCTGTTATTGTTATTTGGGCTTTTCGTAAGACGTCTGATCGCATGTATTTCATTTTCAGGCCGACCTGACTGCTTTTCTTGTCAAGTCTTCGTAGCATGTTCTGCAGTTGGTTGGTGCTTTCGGCAATTAGTACGATGTTGTCCGTGAATCTGAGAAGAGATAATCGTTCTCTGTTTATGTTGACACCACTCTTCCAATTGATCTTGTTCATAACCATTTCGAGGCAGGCGGTGAATAATTTCGGTGAAATCGTATCTCCTTTCTTTATGCCTTTTTTGCTTGGGATGCGGAGGGGGGTTTCGAGGAGAATAATGTCTGTTGTACATCCAGTATTCTCTTCCTTCAACAAACTGATGTACTGCGTGTTAATGCCCTGCTCTGTGAGCGCCTTTAATAATGTGTTAAACTCGATGCTATCAAAGGCCTTTTCACAGTCGACGAAAGCAATGCACAGCAGGAGTTTGTATTCCCTCGCTCTTTCTAGGAGCTGGCTAAGGGTAAATATATGGTCGATCGTGCTAAAATTCCTTCGAAACCCTGCCTGCTCTCTCAGCTGTTGTTCATCCAGACTCTGTGAGAGTTGGTTTGTTATCACCTTTGTAAAGAGCTTGTAGATGTGAGAGAGCAGGCATATAGGGCGGTAGTTCTTAAGATTTTCTCAATTGCCCTTCTTGTGCAACAAGATGGTATTCGACTCCTTCCAGCTTGATGGTATTTTTCCTTCTTCAAGATACTGACTGAATCTTAAAGCGAGGGCCTTCCAAAGTTTTTTGCCTCCTGCAGAAATAATTTCTGACATTATTCCATCTTTGCCTGGAGCTTTTCCCTTCTTCATCTGGTGTAGTGCGCTTCAGACTTCGCCGACGATTATTGGGAGGACGCGTTCTTGTGACTCTTGGAGCGTTGGGAGAGGGACGTTGATTCTTGATTTGAACAGTTCTGTATAGAAGTCCTTGGAGACCTTCTCCATCCCTGCTGTGTCGATTACTGTCTCTCCGTTCTTGTTCTTCAATGCTGTTACGCTCAATCTATACTGTGTCAATTCCCGCTTGCATGTCTTGAGGCTCTTGCATAATTCAGCTGTTTTGAGGAGCTTTTCTTTCCGGAAGTTCTCAAAGTCATCCTTCAGTTTTCGCCGTATAAGCTTGCACAGAATGGAGTACTTGAGGTTGTTATCCGAGCTCCTTTTCATGTTTCTCCGCTTCTCCAACAAGCTTTTCGTTTCATTCGAGATTCTTCCCTTC